ATCACTATTCTGAATGTCTAATGATGCACTATTAATTCACGAATGTGCCTGATGCTAATTTGTTTGGATGAGAGACTGTCAAAAGTTGTAGGTACAAATTGTGAGAGGATTAAAAGACAGGGACTGGACGTGCAAATCTAAAAGACGGTTGTTTCACCTAAGGAAAGTCGTGGGGCACAACCCTAAAATATCTCCATCGTGCTCGAGAAGCTTATATCATTCGCCTCCGTCGCTCAATTCTCTCCATTTCAACCAAATCGAACCGAATCAAGATGGTGAAATCAACAAACTCTGCTCAAGAACCCTCAAGTTCCAAGATCGAGGACCATGCAGGAGCTGAATCACACAGAAGGCAACTTTCTGATGGTCCGCCTGAATCCATGCCTCCTCTGAACGAGTTACCGGTTTCAACCGACCTTCCTGAAGTAACTGAAGAGCTGGTCTCGTTCAATACGGCTCAAGAAAAATCTGGGTCCGAAGGTAGCGGTGACAATCAAGGCACCTCTATGGCTGTAGTAGATCCACCTCAGGTCATTGTGGAGTCAATGCATGTTCCCGACGGTGGGTGTCCAACCTCACCAAAGGATCTTGAACAAGACCCCTCGCCAACTGACCCTAAGACGCCAACAGATCTGAAGGAAAGTGATGAGTCGATTCTCCCGACGGTTGCTCTGGTCAATGAAACAACTCAAGTTCAGGAGAAAACTCAGAGTGAAGCTGAGTCTGAGTCAGGTCAACAAAACGAGGACACGAACCAAGACAAGGAGGCCATCTCCCTCGGCTCCACCTCTGAAGACACGTCTGAGAAGTCCAGCAGGAAAAAGCGTGTCTTGAAGCGTCTGGGATTGCGTTCCTCCAAGAGGCAGAAAAAGGGAGAGTTTTCTCCATCTGTGCCTGAAGTACAAGCTGGGTCATCTCGTAGTAAATCCAGAAGGCGGAGTGAGAAGACTGGTGTTCTCATTCCTGTGGAGATTAAGCAGAGGTATGATCTGTTCCTGAAACGTAAGGTGATTGCTGAGAGATTGGTTGACATGCAGGAAACAGATCAATGGGGTTATCTTGCGATTATCCAAAAAGGGTCAATGGAATCCACTGTCTCGTCTCTTGGAGTGTTTGTTGAACAGATTGTGGCTGAGTTCTATGCAGGCTTACCCAACACCAAGGTGGAAGCTGATACTGAAGAGGTGATTGTCAATGTTCGCAACCACCCATACAAGTTCTCTCCAATGATAATTAACGAGACTCTCGGTCTTGAGCCACTTACTGCTGAGGAAGAAGACATTGAAGCAGTCATGGATGAAGCATCGGCCACTGCCTTAGCCGAGTTTCTCACGAAGGGGACTCGAAAGGAATGGGATCATCTCACCACTGCAGATCTGACACCATGCTATGGGGCTCTTATGATTATCGCAGCTCACAACTGGATTCCATCTACACACAAGACACATGTGTCCCTTGACAGAGCAAGACTCATCTACAAGATGGCTCATGGAATCCGCGTGGACATGGGAAAGCTGATCTGCAAGCAAATCATGAACTTGGGAGTGATTCAGAAGAACGACTCACGCTGGCTGATCTTTCCTCGGCTAATCATGGGACTCCTTCAGAAGCAGCATCCGGTACCATCTCAATCTGATGATAAGGTTGATCGTGCAATTGCCTACAAGAAAGACAAGCGAGTGGGAGAGATTTACGAGCAACGGAAGGCTAAGGGAAAAGCCAAGGAAGAAGGTTCAGTGAGGAAGTCTGCTCGTACGTCTCGGCTGCAGGCATCTGCTTCACCAACTCCTACACCAAGCTCCGGCACAAGACCACGCCGAATTTCTGTATACGAGTTGGGTTCGATTGCTGTTCCTCAGGGTGTACTTACTAGGGCAGATCTGCAGTCTGCCTTACAGGACACGACTCGGGTTCTTCAGACATTGGTTGATGTTGTCCAAGAACTTCAGAACTCGGTTCCAGGTTCGGTCTCTCTCTCTTTTGGTATTTGATTGCTTGTTTCCTGTTGTTTCCTGTTGTTTTTAATCCGTGTGCTCACAAGCAGGGGGAGAAAATGACGAAGAATGAGTGGTAGAAGGATCTAAGGTTGTGGGGGAGCAGTTTATGCAGTTTATGTTTTAAGTTAGTATTCTGGTTGCACCACTTGTTGCAACTTTATGTTATTTTTATTTTCAGACAATGTCGGTTTATGGGGGAGCTTGTCTATTTTTTGCTTTGTAAAGAATGTACTGCTCCAGACCTTATGAAGGATAATTTGAAGTTGCTTTTGGTCTACTTTAACCTAACCATTACTTGCATAAGTGTAGAATGCCTGTCTGTTGGTATGCATGTCTTCTTCGTGGTATTTCAGGTACTTGTGAGACAACGAATTAAAAAGGGGGAGATTGAAGATGTATACTCAAGACAGAGGTGTAGCAGAGCAGAAGTAGTTCATGAAGTGCGACATGAACTAGGATAAGAGACTTGTGACATGTGAAAGGTGAAGGCCGTGAACTTCACATTAAAGAGAGAGTTAATGAAGGGTTAGAGAAAAAGGAAAGCATTGGAGAAGAAGCAATCTATCATAAGAAGAATGGAAGATTGTCTTATTCATTGAAGTGAAGAAAATGGAAAGTTTCCATTAGGTTGACCAAATAACCTAGGGTTTCCTCCGAAGCATAAATAGGGGGTNAATGGAAGATTGTCTTATTCATTGAAGTGAAGAAAATGGAAAGTTTCCATTAGGTTGACCAAATAACCTAGGGTTTCCTCCGAAGCATAAATAGGGGGTTTAGGTCGTGTGTTGAGGTTAACACACAGAGAGAGCTTTTAGCAAGAGAGGTTTTGTACGTCCGGAGAAGGAGAGACAAAGCATCTAGGGGTTAGAAGTTTAAGTAGTTCAGAGACTGTTGCAAGTCTTTGAACGTGTGTGACTAGTCAAACAAGTCAAGGTGTGTCTTGAGCTTGCTTGAGTAATTGCTTTTATAAAGAACTTTGTGTACTTTTAAAAGGATTAATCTAGTCAGTTTTCTTGTGAAGAATCATCCCTGTACTACTGTGTGTTCTACTTGATATAGCTTGATTATCTTACATTAACAAAGGCGATGTCTAGCAACGTCTCGGAGGATAGGAACGAAAGACAAAACGACACAATCAAAGCATAAATCAGACTTTCTTTACGACGATTCGTCTACTCGACATTCTCAATCTCCATTGTTGGTTCAGCAAGCGATTGATCGAAGAAGACGATTAACCCTAATTACCAAATACTAATACACCACTAATACTTTCTTTTTTGGGCTTGATTGGTAACATTTTGGATAACAAATCAATAGCCCAATAAACTCATAAAGAACGAAACGAAAGAAGCAAATATCGGTTAAGAATAGACACGTGCCATCACCTAAAAAACTTAATTAGTGACATGGCACTCTAAGAATGAGGGAAACTCTTCTTTATATAATTAGATTAGTTTGATTTTTTTTAAAGGAATGAAAAGAAAAGATTGGTTACCATGTAATTTGAATACAAATTAAAATGAAAAGATGAGAATGAACATTCGAAAAATGCTGGAAAACAGATATAACTTCTCAGGTGACAATTGATTCAATTATTGATAAATAAGACAAAACACACAACATAACTCATGGAAACTATTTAAAGCAGCCATGAAGAAATACATAACTAAAGAGAACATAGAGTGGAACTTGGAGGGATGAACAGAAGATTAAGTCATGGAATCAAGGGTGAGGATGGTGCTAAGGTTCATGGGATGCATGTACTCGGGAGAACCGTTGAGGATTTGTTGAGCAATGATTCTACTTGCTTTCTCTGATGGATGAAAAGGATCCCAAAAGGCGAAGAGATCTCTGTTTGGGCAGAGATTTGATAACGGTGTGCATAGTCCTATCCCATTATATGGTCCTTGTCCACAACACGCCACCTTCGACGTTACGAATCCTGCAATTAGAACATAAATACCAAACCAAAACCAAACTTACAACACTAAAACTACACTTAGCCATTCAGCATTTGAATTTACAGATTGTGAAATGAAACGTAAAATACAAACGTTCTGTGAGAAATATCCAGTTCTATTAAAATGATCATTTATATTAACAACAATTATAATATATGATATTAACTAAATTTTGTTTCTCTTTTAAATAATCTTAAAATTCAATGCCTAGTAAAGATCGAACTCAACGGAAACTTTTCCAACTATATATATATAATATGTTCCTGTTCGATATATGTTTCCAAAGCCTTAAATAATGTTTCCCATACCAAATACTTATAAAAAATATCTTACCCTTGAACCAAATTTTAAACCCCAAATTCGGTCTAAATGCACCTAACCAGTAATCATCTATAAAATAATTAACCACCGTCTGATTTTTAGAACATTGGTATTTTATTTCATTTTCTGATAAAGGGCTTTAAGAACATTGGTATTGATAAAATAAATTGAAAAAAACGACATATACCATATGCTTGTGGGTCGCTGATAAAGTCCATGTGCATTTGTTGAGTATTAGCGGCAATGAAGGCCGAAGATCCAACTTCATTGTTGAGGTCGTTGATCATCTGAACAAGCTGCGGGTTGAATAGTGATGCGGCTCGTTGTAGTTCTGTAGAACACTCGCCGCCGCGGCTACGTTGAGCCAGCTCGGCCGGGACGCAACCCATCGGCCCTGTTCCAGTCACCAGGACACGTCGAGCACCCAAATCGTACATTTTCTATTAAAAAAATAACAATAATATGAATTTGTATGTATAAGTCGCAATGCAGTTTCAAAATCCATTTGACGTTTCCTAAGTATAAGACTCGGTGAGAACTTTAATGGATGATTTTGGCGGCTATGTAAAATAAACAAACCCGTAAGACTTTGCGATATTCAGAAACGACATAGACAACGTAGTCGGGGAGAGAGAATTGACGAGATCTTGCGGAGAAAGGGACCAAGTAGTAGTTGTTGACGAAATCATTGCCTCCGAGTGTAATTAGAACAAGGGCTCCGTTAACGAGCCGCTCCATCTCCTCTTCTCCGACCAGTCCACTCACTCTTACTTTGTACTGCTCGAAGTACTCCAACTGCTTCGTGATCCGAATTATGTTCAACTGCATTGGAATTACCAATACACCCCTTGTTATCAAAAAGTAACTTAGCTTAGCTGCTGCTGGAATACATTAAGGGACTCTTGTAAAACTAAAACTTACAAACTGGATACCGGTGTCGTTAAGGATTCCAATACCAGCGGAAGCGAAGTTGGCGCCGATTAGGAGCTTGTCTTTCTTCAGCATAGGACTCAGGTAAGGCAGTGGAGACGCTTGACCCAAATGCTCACCTACAACGATCATTTATATTATTTTTACTATTTTATTTTTGGTAATATTTGAAGTGCTAATTTCCTTGGAGACCAAGAAGGCTTACTGATGAGATCCGGAATGTTAAGACCATTGGAGAATCTGCCGGTGGGAAGGTGAGTTGGGTAGTCGATACCGTAAGGGTAGTTATCGGCACGAGCAGTGGTCACTAGAAAGTCATTGTTACCATTGTCCACGAGGGAATCTCCAAACACTAGGAAAGCCCTGGCGTCAGCTTGCAGCACAAGTAAGCTCATCATTTGCAGGATGCAAACCCCTAGTAGTGCAACATTAGCCACCGAGTTTGCCATTGTTATCTTCAAACTGCTAATAAGTCGTAAAATCTAGTGTATGATGCTGTGAACTCTGTTTAGGTGTTTGCTCGGAGATGGAATGAGTAAGGGTACATGATTTTATGCGTATATATATGTGCACATGTAGAAAGCATTGGAGAGAAAAGGAGGCATTAATGGAGGTCTTCACCAGCTTTTACCATATGGTGTTAGATTTTAAATGGAGACAACCAAAAATGTACCAAAGTTGTCGTTTTGGTTGGGAATAAATATTATGCCGGTAAAGATGGTAAAACATAAAAATCTTAATTTATAAATTCGTATCATCAAACTCTTTGAATCTCATTCGGATCCCGTAAATGTAATATGTATATATATATATATATATTCTGACGTTGAACAAATTCTTAATTTGCATATATTCTAGCAAGTCCATATTAGCAAAAAAAAATTGTCTTCGAAATGAATTGACTAGTCATGTTTTTTTTTTTGCTTAAACATTGACAAGTCATGTTATTATACCCTTTACACCCTAAACGACAAGTTAGGAAGAAAAAAAGTTCACGAACAAATCTTTGACAATAACATGTGAGATTGTTTCTCTTCTGAGTCTAGGGAAATGACACATTTTGTTTGAAATTAGGTTGGTAAACCCATATCGTTATGTACTATGAATTCAGATAATGATATGATGCATTTTCCTTTAAAATATTTAAATTCGTATTTCAAATTTTGGTTATATGAAATCTCTTTGTAAAATATGATAACAAACTCTCTCTTATTTTATGCTAAGATACTAGAGATATATAAAGAAAGACAAAAATATATGTAGTACAATGCTGTAGAGAGCTTTATTAGTATGCCCTTCATGTTAATCAAATGATTGAGTCAAACAGAAAAATAAAAGATTTAAAACGATATGACAAAAGCAAAGAAGCAGAACTACCATATTAGTCAAAACCACAAGAAGATAACTAAAACAAACGAAAAACTACTTAAGATACTTATGGCTCGGACTCTGGTCCATGATGCCATGGAAGAGTTTTAGTAGCCACTACGGTCCAGCTTTTCAGCATAAATCACCTAAAATTAAGATGCATGGCTTAGGTGGAGAGGGGCATAGGCCAGAATGATCATGTTGATCAGTTTTAGTTGTTATAGTTCGTTCCTTCTTCAACTTGAAATCCCTCTGAATCTTCATGGTCAATTTATCCTAGAAAAGCCACAACTAAAATTGTGGCTAAACGATCTACAAAATTTTTCCGTAAAAAAAATTGTATATATTTATGTCCACAATTGATTTTGTTGCTATATAATTGTGGCTATCTGATCCTCGAATAGCCACAATGGTAGCTATGGCTAAATGTTCTACGAATTATTCTTAGGATAGTTATCAATAGTGATCTACGAATTTTGTCGCTAATTGTGGGTATGCGTCCTCGAGTAGCCACACGTAATCTCTATAATATTATTTGAGAAGTCAGTTTCCTATGTGTCGCTCTCACGTTCATTCTCACGATGGTTGATTACATTGATATCCTTAATGAATTAAAAATAGTTGAAAATAGTATTATTAATTCTTTTATTTTTAGTTTTTCCTTTTCAAAAATTCCAAAAAGAAATGTAATAAAAAGGCATTTTTATATAGTCATAAAAAAGAAATTTAAAACGAAAATATATGTATATATAATATGATTTCATAAAAAAGGAAAGTTGACAAAATAGTAATAATACATTTAAAAATATTTTTAAATAACATAAAAAATATGTATATATAATATAATTTCATAAAAAAGGAAAGTTCACAAAATAGTATTAATCTCTATAATATTATTTGAGAAGTCAGTTTCCTATGTGTCGCTCTCACGTTCATTCTCACGATGGTTGATTACATTGATACCCTTAATGAATTAAAAATAGTTGAAAATAGTATTATTAATTCTTTTATTTTTAGTTTTTCCTTTTCAGAAATTCCAAAAAGATATGTAATAAAAAGGCATTTTTATATAGTCATAAAAAAGAAATTTAAAACGAAAATATATGTATATATAATATGATTTCATAAAAAAGGAAAGTTGACAAAATAGTAATAATACATTTAAAAATATTTTTAAATAACATAAAAAATATGTATATATAATATAATTTCATAAAAAAGGAAAGTTCACAAAATAATATTAATACATTTAAAAATATTTTCAAATAACATAAAATATACTTTTAGAGTAATAAAATAGTTTATAATTAGTATTATTGAATTTTTATTTATTTTTCATATATTTAGTTGACTATAATATCTTTCAATTACAGAAAATTATCTAGAACTTATATTTTACTTATATAATATTATTTTCAAATACAATCACAATTTTGTGTAGTTCTTATTTTTAAGAGATATTAAAAACTAAAAATAAATTTAACAATAAACATCGTTTGGTCAAAATAATTTTTCTAATGAGCTAGGTATATGATATTTTATCATTATTAAAATTATTTATTTTATTAATATTAATTGTTTTAAATTTTATGTTTTATGTTTGTGAAACTATATATAACCATAATCAAAATATCAAATTATTTAAAATAAATTTCAGTTTACCTTCAATAAATCTAAAGCATAAAGTTATTTAGAATTTATAAATGCATGTAACCTTTTATTGATCATATGATAACTCAAAACATATAAACAAATAAAAAATAAATACTAACCAACTCTTACAATTTTAGTTGTTTTGTAAAATTTCTATATATATCCATGAGACTTTATAATATTTTCGTTATATTAATTTACGTATTTTGGAATCAGACACTTTAGTTAATTTTTAATTCATTCTAAGCACAATATATCTTAAGTTATACATAATTTTCCTAAAATATATTTACATATCTAAGACAACACCCACCATATGCAAATAAGTAACTAACTAAAAATTAATATATTTTAAATATATTACAGTTGAATTCAGAGATGCAATCCAATTTATCCAAATGATAACTAAACCAACCGTAAAACAACAAAATTGACTAGATATAACATATATAAAGTTACAGTATAAGTAAAATAATATAATACTATTAATATAAATGATGCATACAAATTATAAATTAATTTAAAATTAAAAGTAAATAATAATCAATTATTATTATATATTTAATTTAAAAATATTTATATCCGTGCATGAGCACGGGAAAATCACCTAGTACTATAGTAATTGGCTAGAAACGTTACAAAACAGCCGCAAATTTTTTTTTAGGCGTGGTTGTTATGTGAATATTTTGTGGTTTATTCTATCCACAAAACTTTTATGGTTAAGCCGTGGTTAAAAAGTTTTTCTTTTGTTAGTTTGAGACTGAGCTTTCTTAAAGTTCAAGGGTGAAAAATCCTCCATTAGGTGAATATCAGGTCAGGTGTCTTGGGTTTTCTTGGAGGTTGTTTACTTCTAGGGTAGCTCTGAACGTGGATCCAAGGTTCATTTTGTTTAGAAGGTCTCTATACCTTGGGTATATGCGCTTAGCCTACTTTGGATCAATGGCTTCATGTACTATACACTTTATAAAACTTTATAATCATATACGTTCGATAACATGCTATATATTAACTTAACATTTGTAGTTTTATTGACAATATAATGAAACAGCATAAAAAGTGGTATTTTGAAAATCGATAGAAAGTTTATTATTTTGAAAAATATCAGTGTTAAATTTATACTTTAAAAACTTTTCCAACCTAAAAAAAGATTATTATGTTATAATTAGCTAAAGTTAAAGAAGCAATTAACTATTATGGTTTTGTAAACAAAGCTTAATACAAATTAAATTTTTGACCCGCGCTTAAAAAACGTGGATACTATTTTTGTTGTTTTATCTACAAATGGATCGATAAGTGTTTTTTCCTTTGATGATATAAATGTTCTTGTGTAATATAAATTTCTAAAATTATTGTAGATTTTAATTTATTATTATATATCATAAATATATATGTAAATTTATTGCATCTAATTGTGTAGTTTTATTTTGAAAAAATAATATCAATTAACTACGCTTGATGCTGGGAAGCGGGTCAAACTCGCCCTGCCCGACCCGCCTGACCCGCAAAAAAAATAAATTTTATCTATATCCATCCCACTTAATTTTTCCGATAATCTGCGAGACCTGCGGATAATTATTAATAATAAAAATAATTATTTTTTATTTTTCTAAAAAATAATAGTAAATAGTATATTTTAATTTAAACTTTAAATTTAAAAAAACTATTTCAACGAAATTTAGTATATTTTTCAAAAATAACTTTTAAATTTTTTTTTTTATTTTTGCAGATTACCGGATATCCACAATTGAAATTAGAACAATCTGCGTTCATCCCGCATAAAATATATTTGACATGCACCCGCACCCGGAACTTAGTTTTTTCAAATATCGATTCACCCATTTTGTAGCGGGTCGAATGTGGCAGGACCAGGGGGGCTATTAATTAAAAGGTGATTTTTGCCCACTAATAAATACATTAGTTTATAGTTTTTAGGTCCAAAATAAAAAGACCAAATTGCGATTAATGGAAAGTTAAATTTGTTCATAATATTAGGGGTATTTTTGGAAAACATAAAAATCTCATTAAATCATGTTTAATGGTATTGATTAGTATATTTTTGAAAAATAATTTTTAATTTTTTTTCTATTTTTGCAGATTACCGGATACCCACAATTGAAATTAGAACAATTTGCATCCAACCTGTGTAAAATATATTTGACATGCACCCGCACCCGTAACTTAATTTTTTCAAATATCTATTCACCCGTTCCATGATGGATCGAACAGGACAGGACCAGCGGATTAATAATTAGAAGATGAATTTGGTCCATTCATTAGTATATAATTTTTAGGCCTAAAATAAAAAGACCAAATTATCATTAATGAAAAATTAAATTTATTCATAATATTAAGAATACTAGGATAAGACCTGCGCCTTGCGCAGGGTGAATATATGTAATTAAAATATAAAATTTTAATATTCACAAAT